TTCATTCGAAACAGCGTTCCAAAGCACATTTTTATTTTTTATATTCAATTTACGTGATCTAGTGACGTAGTGTTTGATACTATTCAAATCCATGAAAGTTATAGTGATTGAAAGAAACTTGTATAACAAACTAAACCAACTTATGTATGTTACTATTGCTAGAAGTGTGAAATACTGAATCTCATCTATTTTTTCGACCTCTAATTGCTGAAATAATAATGTCATACCACAATGCAGTCCAATCGAGACTAGACAACGTTGTTTTATTAAATATATCCATTGAATAAAATTTTCAAAGAAGTCTTACTTTTTTTTATGTTGATTAGTTAAAAAACTATATGTGTGAATCTCACCTTTGTATAAACTTTATCTAAAGAAGTGTACGTCTAACAGTATAGCTACAGTGACACGAGTATAAGCATATGGGTGTCGAAATTTAGTTATAAGAAGAAAGTATTCTCGAACTGGTTGTTTGCGTTTTTAATGAAAAAACGCCCGTTCCAACACGTTTTACAAAGTGCCCTTAAACTCTAGCAAAAGCATATGGGTTAGAATAAGAAGGCATTCAAACGTAATTTTTTCAACTTTTTTCTCGTCAGTAAATAAGAAACAATTGATAAAACTTATCTCGTTGTCATCTGAACCAGATAAATGTGATATGTCCATAATATCGTCGAGGTTTTCGTAAAGAGATTTCTTCAGAATCGCATAGAGTAACACCACATCTCATTTAAATCTAGATTTCGCTCTGATTTCTAGTCTTGATTCTGGTAGTCGATCAAAGAAAAATTAGTTCCAGTTTCGGTAAGTCTGTGTTGAACAGGTAATTTAAGCACCTGTTGAAAGAGATTTCTACAAATAAAAAAACTCTCGAATTTCATCAATTTATTCTATTTTTCGAATTAGGTTACAATTACTTTCAAATCATAATTGATTTTCGACACTTTTTCAAAAATTCAAGATTAGAAAAACAGAGAACTTGTTGAGTATGATGAAAAAACAAAAGAAATTGATAAATAACATTATAACAATTTGAATTTGTTCCATCAATATGAATATATTTTATACAAGAAAGAAGAGACGGAGAATTACAAATTAATGATTGTAAGATTAATGCAAACTTTTTTAAACATAAATCTGACTGATTAAAAATATTTCCAAATTTATCTATTGAAAATGTTGAATAAATAATAATTACAATTAATACATCTATTTAATGATCAAAATGATATTAAGATTTTATCTCATGATAAATAGAAAAATATATTATGCAATCAACTCTATTAAATTAATGTAAGAGTGTTTTTTGTAGAACTTTCATTTATTTTCGAAGAATATAATGAGTGTAAATTTTAAATTGAAAGTTTTCGACTCCTCTTTTCATTATAGATCTTAGCAACTATTCTATATTATGTGGTATATATGAGTTCCGTATATCGACACTAAATGGACTGTGCTAACAAGCTTTTTCAAAAGAATAATAAAACAACTTTTGTTTTTAATTTTGTGAAACACGATTTCAAAGGACTGTTGGAGTTATTGAGTTGCAGGTGTACATTTTCACGGACCCGGAAAACAAAAAACTGAATCAGGACTCTATCAGCTCCAGGCTTCGACTTGAACAGATCCTAACTCAAATTTTATTCCAGCAATATCCATACACTTGAATCTTGTTGCTGTACTTCTCATCCAAGAACTGAGCTTAGTATGATAATTGCCCTTTACTTTTCCTTCATACTCATTGCACTATATTGGAAGTGATACATTTTATGATCGCCATTTATTTACAATAGTTACGAATTCACATATTGAAACATATACTGATTAATTAGTTTTTATACCACATCACAGTTTCGTTTTATTTCATGTTTTAATTTCAGTGTTTGTGCTAACAACTTCTTTTTGTTGATATTCTTTTTAAGAAGAACGAATTGAAATGTAATAATGCTTATTGAATTAATAGTATACATGAAAGATTAGCAATTACACTAATGATTCTTACTGATATTTATCTATAAATAGATAAACTAGAAATCACAATGAAACAAGAAATTAGAATGAAAGTTCGACTCAAGACTTAATTTTTCATATCACACAATAGAATTGTTGTAAATGGTCGATAAGTTTTTAACTAGTATCGAAAAAATCGTTTGTATTGATTGTTCTTTTGAGATTCAATTTGTGAGAAATCTTCGAAAGTTATATCATGTTATACTTATTTACATGTATCAAGTTCTTCAAAGATGGCGAAATCATCTTCAAGTACAACTAGAAGAAATCTTTGTAAACAAAATTTTTATCGAATCGGACAAGTCTATACCATGAAAACGTTGTCCATTTTGAAGCCTGTTTCGAGCATCGCAGTTTTTACAACTCTTTTCAATCTATAGCCTGCTGCCATGTCGGTATCGAATTAGACTGATCAGAACTGTTTTTCAAAGTCTATCACTATTATGACTGTGAGCTATAAAAAAAACAATGTTTTCCTTCAGATTAGTCACCACAGAGACTTTTATTTCTAGAAATAAACAATATATACGGCTGCTTTTGCGTGTGTCTTATTTTCAATTGTCTTGTGTTTCAAAACATCCAAATTTCCTATCATACCATGACTTAGATAACCGACTGACATGTAAATGTTTAGTGCCAATGCTGATAAAATCTATCACTTTCATAATCAGACTTGATGGTGTGGGTATGATTTTAGATCAGTAGAAAACTAACACATACACTCTTTTTTGAATGAATTAGTGAAAATAAAAGGAAAATAATAGTCAGAAGAAAAGGAGAACAATAACTTTCTTAATTTTCACAATGCTTTCTTCGCATCCGTTTATGTGTTATTTAACAGTGTTACTCAATGACTAATGAGAATATCAAGAAAAGAAAAGTTCCTTTCTCCACGAATGATACTAATATATTATCCAACGTATCTAAATAATTTACTTTACGATGAAGATTGATATTGAGATATTTGTAGATTTTTTTCTAAGAAATCAATCACAAGATTAAATTGATATTCTAATTTGTGAGTTAGTTGTAAGTGAAGATTAGAGAAAAAAAAGTTTTTGTCTAGTTGTTTATAAGCTGTCGGATGTTCATTCGACCTGAATTGACACCTTTTTTGCTTTTCTTTTCTGTCGTTTTTGAGGAAAATGATGGTATTGTCGACAAGTTTATTTTCAATCGGAAAAGAGATTTAGTTTTGATGAAGCAGAAAAAATAAAATATATTAAGTAAAAAACAGCGAGACAACTACATGTTTTTTTTCAAAACAAAAAAAACAAACTCGAATAGTATTTTCTTTCATTTATTTTTAGTAGATCATTTCAACAAAAATCTTTTATTTAACAAAAAAGCTTTTTAAAAAAATTCGAATATCTTTATCAATTTGATTTTATTCATTCATTGTTGCATTTCCATATTCTTGAATTATTTTACCATCTTGTTTTACTGTTATATGATGTTTATCTCCATATACTTTACTCATTGTTTCAGTTTTGTATATTTTCATTTTGATTTGATGATTATTGAATTTGTTTTTCAATAACACATCTTCCCGATTATGTTGTTGCTCGTTTCATTGTTGTTATTATAAAAGTTCTTGGAAAAGCTTCATTAAGATCATGTTTTTCTATAGTAGAGTCAAGATTTTCATCACCATGATGACTATCTACAAACGATATTAATTTAAGAAAATTCGTTTTTAGAATAGGTTTTCATTTTTTTGTTACTTTGAAACTCTATAGTTGCGAAACTGGAGAAAAGTCAATCGAAATCAATGAAGATTTTTTTCGATTGAGGAAAATAAACCATTGAATAGAAAATGATCATTATCATTATTATCTTCCATTTTAGTTTTGAGAATGAAAATTTATTTCTCATTGTTCATTTTTATTTTTATTTAAATATGAAGAAAACTATAACTTTAATTATCTCTCAGTCTTATTAATGACTTCATTATATAGTTAAACGTGATCAATAAAAGGCTGGCGATATGAATATTGAATAGATGCGTGTAGGTTACCAATTGAGTGAGTCAATCGAGATATTGCAAAGGTCGAATATCAAATGAAATCATGTCGATAAAATTTTTTAAACAATTGTAAAGTAGTCAGTTGCATTGATATCGTTTCATAAATTGAGATTATTTATTCTTGTATATTATCATAGAATTTCAATGTCTACTGAAGTAAACTTATTTCAAACAAATGTATTGATTTTAAATTCTCGTTTTAGAAACGGATTTCTTTATCTTGAAATAAAAGAAAAATGTTCTAATGATAAGTTACTTTTTCAAAATGATAAATATATGCATCAAAAGTTAATAATGATAATAGAATTAGAATTCCAATTTTAGTTGCTTTTGTAACTCGACATAATTGTCCTTTAAATTCCGGTAAATGGGTTGCATCGGATAAGGGATTTTCACTAAACAAGAAATAAAGATTACTTTAAATTAAATTCGGTTTCATTTTTAAATTTCATACCGATAAATGTGGTAAATTGGATGCTGGACAAATACTAAATGGATTATATTCATCATAATTTAATGGATGTTCATCAATTGGATTCTTTCCACGTACACTAAATACTTTCCATGTCTAAACAAAATAATAATAAAGTTTTTATTTGTTTTCTTTGTCCGTATTCTAAAGTAATTGAACAAAAATTATGTTTCATTTAACAAAGAATAAACTGAACTGTTTCAAATAAATTAAAAAAACATGAACAACTTCGATCAACGATATGACATATCTTTGAGTGCATTAAAGATAGCTATGTTTTTATAAAGATTTCTTTACTAGTAGACCTGAGATATTAATTCACAATGCTTGATTAAGTGCAAATTCTAATGTCATGATTTTATGTATTGGTTGAAATTGTAAATGAGTAAAATCAGCAGCTACTTCACATGAACGTTTTACATTATCTTTTGCTAAATCTTTTTTTGCCATCGACATTTGTAAATCAACAATATTTTCTTTACATATTTCAATTCATTGTTGATCTTGAAACTTTCCATTTTTTGTTAAACGATAAGCGATTTCATAGCGTACAACTAATTTTTCTAATGTAAATCCAATTGCTGGATAAAATAATTTTGGTGAACGTGCATCACGCCTTAATAATTAAAATAAAAATTTAAAGCTATTTATTAAATCAACCAATAATTTATATATTTGAATAAAAACATATAAGATCAGGTGATAATTCAGTTTCGGTATCACCCCAACCTTCATCTTGTTCATCTTGATTATTATTAAGATTTTCTCTATTAAGATCATCTTCATCACCTTCAATTGGTACTTCATTATAAACCCAATCTCAACCACTTGGTGCTGTTTCATCAATATGAAGATTTACAGCAAACTTTTCTGTTATGTTTTTGATATTTAACCTGCTTTCATTCTTGTTGACTTATTGTACATGGTGGTAAAAGTAATTTAGCATTTAGATTTATTTCAGATAACTAAAATAAATAAATATTTTATTTTGAATTACTAAATTTAACACGAGTTTAATATTGATTAAATGTACGTCTATCTTATTATTTCATATCTAACATATCAATTAAACAAAGAACAAGAAATAATAACTTTGTTAAAATCTCAGTCTACCGGCTTATTCCTTTTTTGAAACAGAATATGAAAAGTCTTCTTATTCTGTTTTTAATCTACATTCTAATGAATATCAATCACAGAAAATAAACTAAACTAACTATGACATGGTGATTATTTGAAATGTCTTTCAAAAAAAAAACACGTTATCATTCAATGTCGCAAAAAACTTCGAGAATCATCATAAACTTCTTTATACAACAGTACAGAAAACTCTTTAGATAAATGATGTGTTGAATACAATTAAAGATTGTTTAGGAATTATTTAATATCTCAAAAAAATTGGTATATTTACACGAAACTCTATATCTAATTTTGAAGACTTTCAATTGAAAATATTAGATAACGAAAAATAAAACTTTGTAAATTGCTTTAATTTTTTTAAACCCTCACGGACGAAGTATTAACATGAGAGTATTTTTTATCCATAATAAAATACTTTTTCATCAAATGATTATGTTGTATAAAAAAGGACATAACATAATTCCATCTCATAGAGAAAAAATATAAAATATTACTTTGATTGCATTGTCTAAGAAATTTCATCCGTTCTTCAACATTCCCTAATAAGATTGCAATTGGAAATTGTCTACTAACATCTTTTCGTACTTCAACTAAACAAAAAAAAATAAAATAAAATAAACACAACAAGAAATGTTTCAAACCAATTTTCATCATTTTCCAAGAAATAGATAATTGAAATTATTTAAAAAAACCACAAATAATTTACATCAATATTTCTATATTCAAGTGCTAAGCCAAATCTTGTTTTTGCATCATTTGTTTTCAAGATAAAGATTTTTGAAACGAAATTTGTAAATTTTACTTCATCATATTTTCTATTACTTTAACTTTTGTTATACAAATATATAAATCAAGTATATGAATAATTCCATGATCACCATTCATAAGTGCATACTTAATATGATTTAATGTTGCATGAATAAAAATACTTGAATCATCCTAATAATGATAAGTAATTCGTATCATTTGACCACATTGTATATTTAACTTTGCCTCTTCTTACACTTGCTAATGAACATTTTTGTTAACCATCATATATATTAATATGATCATTTTCAGTGAAAATGGGTGTGGGTGTGGGTGTGGGTGGGTGTGGGATGTGGGGTGTGGGTGTGGGTGGGTATGGGGTGTGGGTGTGGGTGGGTGTGGATCTTTTGTATAGCCACCGCCACCATGACACCCACACCCACACCCACACCCACGCCCCCACCCACACACCCACACCCACACCCCACACCCACACCACCCACACCCACACCACCCACACCCCACACCCACACCCCACACACCCACACACACACCCACACCCACCCACACCCACACCCACACCCTCAATCTGAATTTAAAAAGAAAAAGAGCACTTGATTTCAAATTGAAATAGGGGACTAAGGGGACTAAGCGGACTATTCAGTGAGGAAGCGTGTTTCCCCACCTAACACACGTTTTATTTCAGCGTCGCGGCGTGGGGGCGCAAAGCGCCCCCCGAAGAGCCACGACCCATGCACGTCTCTGTGTACACCATCATTCCTACCCTTAGGCCGGTTAGTTAGTCCCCTTAGTTAGTCAGCTTAGTCCCCTTAGTCCCCTTAGTTAGTCAGCTTAGTCCCCTTAGTCCCCTTAGTCTCCTTAGTTCCCTTAGTCCCCTTAGTCCCCTTAGTCTCCTTAGTCCCCTTAGTCCTCCTAGCCCACCCTCAAAAAAGGTACTATAGATATACCATATGTCGACTGAATTCTATATATGTTATGTATGTGTCCATAGTAGCCTTCTTATAAGGAAGAGGAGACAAGGTACCAAAGAATTCTTCCATTCTGAATTTAAAGAATTTCTTAGTCCCCTTAGTTCCTCTGCCTTGGTAAAAATGGGCTGTTATTTTTTTTTTCAAAATTCAATTTGAATTAAAAAAACCCATAGACTCCACAAATAATAAAAAAAAATTTTAATTTTTTAATTTTTCCAAATCTCGACAAAATAATCGATTGCTGAAAAGCAAACGTGGAGTGCAAGCAGATTGTATTTATCTTTTCTTCAAAATAGATAGGTCAGTCTGTTTTTCGATTGATAGAATTAGAACTTTGAAGAAGTTTTTGTAATTGTGATTCTAAACGCTGTCGTTCTTCATCATTTTGTAGTTTTAAATGTTTCATTATATCACACCCAAGATTCATCAGTTGTTCGCTATTGAGAATTTGGATTTGGTCTGCCCTTTTTTGGAAGTAATTTGCTTTCGTTTGGCTTCTGGCAGATAATTCGTACAAGAGCATTTGTTGTTTGATTAATGCAGTATTGATTATTAATGCTTCCTGCATAAATTTTGTAAACAGTTCAGATAAATCCGAATGCGTTTTCATCCCGGTTCTAATTGATGCAACTTCAACCTTCATAATTTTTGATTCAGAATCCAGCAATGAAGAATTGTTGCTCCATTCATAACTTCGTCTAATTATATAAGTTTTGCACCATCGTAATGCTAGATTCGCTATGTTAGCTACTGCACTGACAAAACCCATCCTATGGAGAGCATTATCGACAAATTCTTGAACATTCAAAACGTGTATACTTTCAACGTCAACCAAAAGATTTTGACAATTTTCATCACTTTTTGCTATTGATTCGTACAAAATATTTTGCTTTTCAATTGAAGCAAGATTTATATCTAACATGATTCTGTTGTGGAAGTCATATCCCGAACAAAGTATTGATTGAGTCATTGTAATTGTGTCAACTGAATTAATCAGAATTACATTGATTTTATTTATGATATTCCGATAAGATATGTACCGATTCGCTGAAAACAAAATCAAAAATATCAATCTAAAACACAAAACATAATCGGAATCTCCAAAATTGTCAATCATTTTTCAGATAATAGCGATTGAATTGTGTCTCTCTTGATTATATATTTGTCACATTTGAAAAGGGAACCGAATTACAAGAAAATTAAAAACATGATACGAGTGAAATGTCTGAAATCCTAATCAATTTGAGGTCTTATCTACCAATTATAAACAGGCAGTAATTGACGGTTATTATGATTCATAATTCCAAGAACATTTTCTAATCTCGATTCCAAGTATTTGAGTTCTTCGGAACTTTCTAAATTTAATTCTTTAACTTTTTTAAAACCAATATCCATTAAACGCTTTGCATCAGAGATTTTGATGTTGTCCGCTTTGCCCATAAAATAAGTTACCTTCTGATTATCATTAGATTTCTCAATTAAATTATATAATGCTGTTCTTTGCTCAATCAAAGCAGTATTTGTTGCCATTGTTCCATTCATAAATTCCACAAATTTACCAAATAATTCTGATTGAGTCTTCATTCGTGTTTGCAAAAGTTCAGCCTCAATTCTGCGGATGTCGGTCTGAAATTGAAGTATTAATTCAGCCTTACGCAATTCAAACTGGCTTTTGGCTTTAGCCTTTTCGATTTCAACTTTTTCTTGATCTAATTGGTGCTTGTACTTGTCTTTCTTTCCTTCCAATTCGGCAAGTTTCTGCAGTTTTTCAAGTTCAACTTCATTCATCCTTCTTTGGTAAGTCGAGTCACGTTCAAATTTGTCTGCAACTGTACCCATTGCTGTCGACACTGGATTTTGATGCTCACTAGTCAAACTAAAGAAAATCAATGAATATTCAATCGACAAGAAATATTCTCATGAGAAGCTATTTTATTTTTCCTCTATTGGCATGTTTGGTTGGTATTTTCTAGCAGACGATAAGGATAATGAAAAAAAGAGAGGCGAGTATCGTATACATATTACACATTCTACAGGGTGGTCCAAGAGTAACCGAACAGCAAATAACTTTTGATGGGCACAAGATAGAAAGCTGCAGTTTTCACCGTTATAAAAAGGAGATGAAGACGCATCGAATCATATATTACAAGTATTTTTCTTAGTTTTTCGAATGTCTCAATTAAATTTTTGTTCTATAAGTATCGTATCCCATCGGCTAACTACGGTGATTTTACAATTTTCAGACGCACATTGAAACCATCGAGTGAAGATCTAGGCAAGGGCGCATGGTTAAGGTCATTAGCTCGAGGCATTCAGAAGATATAAGTGTTTTACTCTGAACTGTTAGCCGGTTTTTCTATTGATTTCTGTGAAAAAATTTTTTTTCCGTTTTTCTTTGATACAAAAAGAAACATTTTTCGACTTTTTTTGCGGCGGATTTTTTGAATATTGATTGAAAAAGTCTCAAAAAACCTAAATTATATATGATTCGATGCGCTTCCATCTCCTCTTTCCAACGGTAAAAACCATAACTCTCTATCTTGTGCCTATCAAAAGTTATTCGCAACCAAAGACTGTCCGGTTACTTTTGGGCCACCCTGTATTACACATCGTAGTTTCGATCTTGTGCAAAAATGGGGTATATGTGCGCATCTATCATGTCTTGCATACGGAAGAAGAAAGAAAATGATCACATATTCTTTACGTCGACGTGTTTTTATTTGCGTCTGTCGTCATGTTTGGTGGGTATTTCCCAGTAGGAGATAAGGATAACGAAGAAAAGCGAGGGTAGTATACCATACATCATACGCAGCCTACCTTCGATGTTGTGCAAAAGTACTGTATGTGTGTGTGCGTCTAACGTATGTCTCGTACAGAAAATAAAAGAGGAAATAATCGCCTATTTTGTAGCTGGACGATTTCTCATTTTTCTTCCTCAGTATGTCCGATTAGTAATTACCAACACACTGTCAGTAGAAGGAAGGAAAAGCGAGGGTAGTATCCCATACATCATACACAATCTAGCTTTGATGTCGTGCAAAAGTACGGCATGCTTGTGTGTGCGCGTTTATCGTATGTCTCGTATAGAAGGGCGGAAAAAATGATCGCGTATTCTTTAGGTAGACGCTTTTTATTTTTCCTCTGTCGGTATGTTTGGTTGGTATTTTCCAACAGACGATAAGGAGAACGGAAAAAAGCGAGACCAGTATCACGTACATGTTACACATCTCAGCTTTGATGTTGTGAAATATGATCAAGATTGATTGTCAACGAAATGACTAAATCTAATCTTTCGAAAATTATCGTATTTTAGATTGCTTTATGTCATTCTGTTCTGACAATACATGTTCTCTCGGAAGACATAAGATCTTCAAAATAATCTACATAACTCATTCGGTTTTTGATATCTATCATGAGCTTTCTTTAATTGAAATAACAAGAAGAAAAAAATGAATGATTTGCTTATCAATTTGACTATTATAACTGCTCTTAATCGTCGCCGAACTTGCTGAATAAATCCATTTTTTTTACTTTTCATTCAATATTTCTAAGGTTTGAATGTTGAAAAACGTCCTAAAATCATGATAGCACTTCGAGTGCTGATGTATTTTTTGCTTGAAATTTAAGCAAACTTTGTTTCTTTCAGTGATATTTATGAAGAAAAAAATGTGAATTCCCCCAAAACGGGCCTCATTACTACTGAGATGCTTCTGTATGCCAGAATTTCACGACAGATATACTCATTTTGTGGCGTGACAAACTCCGAGCTGTATGAAAGAGAAATTAGCCATAGTCTGCTAGTGCTATCATTACACTCATGTCAATCACAGTCCTCGAAAGCTGTGAATCATTCATTTTTTCGAACAAGAATATCACTAGTGCATATCTCAGTTACATGTAACAAAACATTCATTTTTTTAGTTGATTCTTTTCTTGTTCTTACATCATTATCGATTTTATTTTACATGTACTACTATGACAAACACTTATATTGAAATCTCCTTCTTTTGTTGTCAATATGTTTTATATGGAAATGTACCAGTTCCGGTTATTTTCAATTCAATTCCAAATCTGAGCTTGGACTTGAATTGTCTTGTAGGGTTGAACTCTAGAATTGGTTGAATTTGATATGGAATTAAACTTGACTTGAAAGACTCGAAAACAGACTTGATATTCAATAATCGGAAATTTGGATTATTCAATATCAGATGGCAGCTTGTCTCACTACTGCCTATTGATTCTACTATTACTTATGTATTCTGTACATATAGTAACAATGTAGTTTCCAACTGTTTTGGATTTTCTTTAAATTCAGAGCAGTAAGCCATTTGAAAAGACCCTTGAGCAAGGTCGAAACACGTGTCATGGTAGCTTGTTTCACCCTCACCCTCACCCTCCATCTGATGAGATCCTTAAGCAAGATCGAAACAAGCGTTTGTCATGGAACCGCTTATCTTATTCTACTCGCTACTTATTTGTGATAGAAACCATTGCTACAAATATATATGGACATGTATAGCTACATAACTGTACACTGTTAATTCTATTATTCGATATAGATATATCTTACCTTATATAGACTTGTGCAAATGTTCCTAAAATATATTGATTATTGTATCATAGTAATTCGAATGTTTTATATATTATTCAAAGAATTACTTATCGAGATATAATATCATACAAGTAGCGCGAATCCAACGGATTCGCTGACCCTTTTCTGCAAGAAAGAAAATATATCGTTGCACGCTTGGGAAGAAAATTCCGTCTGAAGTCGGGGTGTGGGTGTGGGTGTGGGTGTGGGTCTGGGGTGTGGGTGGGTGTGGGTGTGGGTGGGTGTGGGTGTGGGTGTGGATGTGGGTGTGGGTGTGGGTGGTGTGAGTGTGGGATGGTTGTTGGTGGGTGTGGGTGTGGGGTGTGAGTGTGGGATGGTTGTGGGTGGTTGTGGGTGTGTGTGTCGATGTGGGTGTTCTTCATCACAGTATATATCTACACCCATGCTCACCCCACCCCCATCCCCACACTCACACCCATCCCCACACCCCACACCCACACCCACACCCACACCCACACCCACACCCACATCCACACCCACACCCACACCCACACCCACATCCCACCCACTAGGTATGCACCAGTTCCAGTCATGACTGGGTACCCAGTCATGACTGGTACCCAGTCGGACTGGTACCCAGTCATCAATCATCTGATCTTTAGTTTATTAGATGAATAATACTTCCC